GAAGAATGGAGAAGAGGGAGCTGGGCTCCCAAACCAGCTTCTCGGCTCCTGCAGGTTGAGAGGTTGGGAAATGGGATGGAATAATGGACGAAAGGAACTCAGGCCCCACCTCTTCCCCCTCCCTTTGTGGCCTGGCGTTTCTGGTCATGGTGACTGGCAGGTGTCTTTACCTTAGAGAGGGGGGAAAGATGAAGCAAGTCTCCGTCAAGTGAATCCTCTATTATAGTGTTGGACAAAACAGTTCTCACCTGATCAATGGGCAGTGCTGAATCTGATTCAAAGAACAAAGGAGACAGGCACGAGGTGGAGACAGAGATCCATCCCTGTCACCCACCCGGCATATGCAATGTTTTCAGCAAAAGTGGCCCCAGGTCCCTGGAGAGTAACCTTGGCACCTGTCGCCATCCAAACCCACACCTCGGGGGTGTGATCCACAGCAATGATTAACAATTACAGATTAACAATGCTGTGCCCAGCTGTGTGGCCTCCAGAATTGGTGATTTTTAAGTCAATTAAGAGCAAAAGAAGCAGCAACTTCAGAACAATTAAAAATGATGTTCTTCCATCCATTATTAAGCACCCTAAATGTTACTTCAGTAACATTTAGAAATATCTTCTTACCTCTTTCACCCATAAGATTAAGAAAATGGAAAACTAAAGCTAAAACTGGATCCTAGAATTGGCTGAATTTCTGTGCTGGTAAAATCATAGCCTTTCTGAAGATAATTGGGATATCGATCAGGACAGAGAGGATCAGAATGGAGCTGTAAGAGAGGGTCTGAAAAGCTTGGCACCCTTTGAATCATTTGTTCTCAAAGAGCCTCCTCTGTCCCCAGAGACCCTCATCTCCTGTCTTCTGAAACACTTTGCAAAAACAACAACAACAAAAAAACTATAAGCCCTTCCTTTCTTTTGCAGGAGTCACCCAGTGAGAGAAAGTCAGTTGTCCATGTGTACTAACCTCTGTTACCCCCAGGATGGTTAGAGTTAAATGCCAGCATACTTCAAAAGGAGTCTCAGTCAGTTTACCATGGTTATGACAAAGTACCTGAGATCGGGTACTATATAAAGAAAGAGGTTTACTAAGCCAATGGTTGTGAAGGCTGAAAGTCCAAGATCAGGTGGCCCCATCTATTCCACCTCTGGTAAGGGCCTCCTGCAGATGGCATCGTGATGGGAACATTTACAAGAGGGACAGATGATACGTTGACATAAGAAGTGAGTGCAGGGAGCAGCCAGGCTCACTCTTTTCTCTCTCAAGCACTAACCAGAGTCCCACAGGGGCTACCCCAGCACTTCCGAGAGTGGTGCCCTGTGGTCCTTAGACCTCCCAACAGGCCCCGCCTCTTAAGGGTCCCACCTCCTCACAGCTCTACTGCCCCGAGGACTGAGTTCCAGCCAGTGAACCCTGGGGACACATCAACCCTCATCCAAACCCCAGCAGGGGGCAGTGGCAAATGCAAACCTGGTAGCACAAGTCAGAAACTCACATCGTCTCAAGATTGTTCTAATTTTAATTTATGAATATAGAGAAAAGGTGTTGGGAAGGATTTTTAGGTGCCGGACAATGGACAGAAGGTCACCGTCTTAACTTGTCCTGAAGTTGCTGATGCAGACACTTGTCACAGTGGTTCTGGACTTCCTGTGCTAGCGTGAGGAGCCAGGCATGACTTCTGAGACTTGGAGACCGACCTTGAACTCCAGGTGACTGTTCCTAACACACTGAGTCCCGTCTGTGATCCAAGCTGGCCGTCATGCACTGGGTCATCTAACACTCATAAAACACCACTACCAGTTAGAGACTTTCTGATATGGGGCTGGGCTGTGGGGTCCTGAAGACACGGTAAGTCACATGTGCAGGTGGCCTGCTGTGCAGGTGCCTGCTCCTGAGCCCTTCAAACATCTCACTGTGTCCCATGGAGGGTCTCCCAAGAACCCATGACTGAGAAAGGAAAAGCCACCAAGTTTGTCACTATGAATGGATGACTGTGATGTTCCAGCTCCAAAGAGGGCCACGGATGACGGGTGTCCACTCTGCTGGCAGGAAAGAAAGTTTGATGAAAGAAGATTCATCGTTTAGACAAGTGGTTTGGTCAAATGGTTAAGAACTTGAACGAAGCAAGGTTGAGGTTTGAGGAGACATATATGGTCTCCCCCTCCCAGAATGGGTCAAACTTGAAAATCATTCATCAAGTAGAAGCACCTCCTCCAAATGCCCCCCGGGTGGACAGGGCTGTCTGCCTTCCTCAGGGGTTCCATCGCTTCCTCAACTGATCCATGAAGAAGTGACCAGGTCGGTGAAGATGGGACTGTGGCAGATTTGGGCACAAGGACATTCCCTCCTCAGTGCAGACCTGGCCCAGACTGCACACAGTGTCAGTGGCCACCCCAGATACTGACAGCTGTCCAGGCACGTCGTGGACTGAGTCACGGACAGATGACTTTGGACTTCTATGGAAAGGGCAGTGATTAGTCCCCACTGGAGTGGACACTGACTGAGGGTTTTGGAATTCTCTTCAGTGCCTGCCACAGCATCAAGGTGATAGAGTGTCACTGTGGACCAAGGGATTCTCTGTCCAGCAAGAAAGGCACGGCCGTGACCCTAGTGCAGTCACCCGTGCTGACCCCCGCATGACTTTACTAGAGATYCGGTAGACGTCGCCTGACTAGTGACCAGCACGGGCTGCTGTCTCTCCCGCAGCCAGGCCAAGCAAGTCTGGAGGAAGAGGGATGGGGACGGTGTCTCCTCCACTTCACGACTCTCCTGCTCTTTGACTTCATGCTCCACCCACCAGGGATTTTGGTGCCCAAGGCAGGCAGGCTCCACCACGGGGCAGCTGGCCCTTGGAAAGAACATGGGTGAGGTGTGCGTGGGCATCAGCGCCCTCAAGGCGGACATTTCCATAAAAGAGAGAAAACAGGGCATATGTAGATGTTGATCCAAAAAAAAAAATCAATTAATTAACCAATCCAGCAGGAGTCTAGACACGTGATCTGGGTGTCTGGGGTTTCCCACACCATTAGGTAAAGAGGCCTAAAGAGTGGGTCCTGTCACTGAGTGCAGAGATGAACCCTGGGGAAGGAGTGACACTTTCCACCTCGGGGACATGCTGGTCTCCGTGCCCGCAGGGAGTGGGGTGGGGTCAAGGCCCTGCACCCTGTGACCCACCCCACCTGTGGCTCTGAGGTGCTGACTGGAAAAGGGAAGCATCCAGGTCTCCCTTCCAGGGGACAAAGGGAAAGCCCTGGCCTGTGTCAAGTGCATATTTAAATATTTCAATTGTCTTCTATCTATTCTGTTGCGCATGGGGCACGAGGTCATTGTTAACTTTACAGATCAGACCAAAGACTGTTGGAAAATGAGATGGAACTGTCAACGGGAGCCAGGACCCGAGAGCGGGGGGCAGTGTGCATTCACTCTCACAGGCAGGGCAACAGTTTCCAAAGAGGTGTCCAGTGTCTAGGGACCAGCACCGTGGTCATGGCACCTAAGCCCAGCTCTTCTTCAGGCACGAGTGGGCCATGGTCCCAGACCATGGGCTTTCTCGGCTCCAACTCATTTCCATTTCCGATTCTCCTACAAATCCTGTGAGTCCCTTAATTGACACCCGTGGATTTCCTCTCCCGCTGGAGCAAGCTGGAGTTGGCTGAGGTTGTTTACAGCCAAACGTCTCCCGGCCTTCTCACCTGAGTTCCTTTTGCTCCCGCTGGTGCTGGGTGGGGGAGATGTTCCTTCCAACCACACAGTACATTCCTGAGAAGCATCAGCTCCGGAGGACAGAACACGACACAGGTCACCCACAACAACATTCCCTTTATTGATGTGAATCACAGTTACAAGGTCTTATCTGGCAGAAAGAACAATCTCAATTATGCAGAACTATACCCAAAGACAAAAATAAAACACATGTACACCAGCCGACCACCACACCAGCTCATCCCAACCCACCAACCCTCTGAATGTGTCTGCGATTTTGATCACCAGTGCTTTGGAAGAACATACACTGACCCAGCCGAAGGGTGGCCCTTGGGGTCTTGGAGCATTCATGGAGAAGGACATTTGCCCTTGGAAACAACGGAACATGTAAACTCAGAGATCAGGCGCCGAGAACACAGTGCCTAAATAACTGGCTCTTGGCTGCGTGCCTTCCGGACAGAGGGCCTGTCTTTCTGCTCGGTCATTTCAGAATGGTATGTACTTTTCCCATCCCTCTTCCTTTCCCAACCAGAGCCCCCGGCCAGACTTCGACAAAGCTAGCTGTGGCTCCAGGGTTCTCGGTTGGGTTGTAAGTTACCAAATAGCCTGTGGGGAAGGACCCACGGCAGGTCCTAAGTGTCCCTCCTTCACTGAAGTGGCTCCCTTCATTAGCAGAGAAAGGGCTTGGGTTCTAGCAGCTTGCTGTATCCCCAAGTCTCTTAGGAAACTGAAGCTCATCAACTTATCCAATGAACACCTAGGAGATTTGGGAACCGTGGAAAACCACTCTGCTCTTGGAATCCACTCTCTCCTCGTCACTGGGCTCACAGTTGTCCTAATTCCTGAATTCCCTTAACTTAAAAAATGCCAATTTTAGCCTTAAATTAAAAAAAAAAAAAAAAAGAAAAGCAAAAGACTAGCCGACCTCCTCCCTCAGTCTGTGTCCCTCTCCTGGACAGGACTCCCTGGGCAGGGGAGGAAGGGGACTCTTCATCTCCCGGCCAGCTCAGCCCGGGAGAGCAGAATCGCTGGGTTCACAATGCTGAGGTCCAGGTATTCCAGGTGTGTGGAGGACCCGCAGCCGAGGAGCAGGAGGGCTGCCGGCCAATCAGCTCGGAGGCTGGAGGCCCGACTTCCTAGGAGAATTCTCCTGGGTCCTCGCTTCTGTGGGTGACCTTGAGGAGCTGCTGTTGGAGTGAAGGAGATTGAAGGAAAGAAAGCAGAGATTTCCTTGATCTGTATGTCCTTGACAATCCCACTGAGAAAAGATTCCATTCAGTAGCCAAAATAAGACTCCGTGATTCCATGACACTTTGAGATTCCAAAGAAAACCGACATCTCCCTCAAGAACAAAGTAAAGACAGTTCTATTAGAATCAGGGCCCATCCGGACAGTGGGACGAAGGGGAGAGAAGGCAGCAATAGTTCAATGTGAAGAAAGGCTCGTGGTCCCATCGAGGTCTGGTGCTGTCCTTCCGGGGGGGTGTCGTGACCCAGAGCTAGCCCAGGCCCACGTCCAGTGACATCATCACCACAAATCCCAGGATGGAGGCCCAGGATGCCAGCTTCCCGTTGCCACTAGGAGGGAAGGAGAGGGAGAAGAGTGAGACTAACTTAGCGCCCCTGAGACCACGCCTGCGGACCAAGGCTCCCCGCCATGTCCAGTTCCAGCAGCGTGTTCTACGGTTGGCGACGGTGACATTTCCTGGGCCTAACCACACATCAGGCAAACAGACTAACTCTTAATCCCCAGCAAAGGCCTCATGAGGTCCATGTCCCCATTATCCCCATTTTCCTGGGGGTGGGTGGGGAACAGAGGCGTAGAGAAGTCACCTGCCCAGGGCTCTTTAGTCTGTACTTGAAGAATAAACAGTGATTTCACAAAGATATGATTTAATCTGACCTTATGCACTGGCTTAAAATTATTCTGCTACAAAAGCCAGAATGACACAAAGCAGGGCCCCGTCCCTCCGGCTGCCACCTGACAGCCAGCCCATAGCCGGATAGTGGAACTTGTGCGTATCACGCGGACTAGCAYTCAGCCCCAGAGGCATCCAGAGAGGCAGAGACAGGATACAAAAACGACAGTGCGCGTTTTCCAGGGCACGTGGCAGGTGATCACGGAAGCAAGCAGGAGAGGCCAAGGCAGAGAGCGGGTCCCCGGGAGCTCCGCACCTGATCTGGGCTTCGGGGATGATGTCGTCCATGACCACGTAGACCATGGCGCCAGCAGCAAAGGCCAGAGCGTAGGGCAGGAGGGGCTCGGCCAGCACCACCGCGAAGGCGCCAAAGACCCCGGCCAGCGGCTCTACCATGCCGCTCAGCTGCCCGAACCTGGGGAGGAACAGAGACAGGCGGCTGCAGGGAGCCCGGCAGACACTCGGCACCCCCTCGCTGGTGGTCCAGCCCTTGACCACGGTGCATCCCGTCCCACCTCCCACCGGAGCTCGGCCGGCAAAAACAGGTCTCACAGGACCCCATCCAGTTCCCTTCAGGCCTTCAATTTCGTACTTCCTTGAAAATATCAGCATCACTGAGGCACATTCCCCTCTCACGCGGCACGCGCATCTGACCTGGAGTTGGTGGTTTTCAGGGTGTTCACCAGGTCGTGTAAACGTCACCCCACCTGATTCCAGAACATTCTCACTCCAGAAAGAATCCCATACACATTAGCTGCCACTGTGGCTCCTCCCACCCCTGAGCACTAAAAATCTGCTTTGGTCTCCCTCTGTGGATTCACACACTCTGAGTGTTCCGTGTAAATGGAACCATACGATACGTGGTCCTTTCCTGCTGGCTTCTCACTGGGCATGCCAGTGAGTCTCGAACCACAGTCCTTTAAGTGGATGAATAGCACTCTGCCGTGGGGCTACCCCACATTGTGTAGACACTCATCTCATTGATGCCCACGTCGAGCCACAGGAAGCTCATTAGGAGTGATGGGCATTACCCATGGACAGCTGAGTCTGGCTTGCTCGGGGGTTCAGGCCACAGTGGCTACCTGTTGGAGGGGGGGAGCCACCTGACTACATGGGTATTGAGAGCCTGGTCCCTCCATTCCCACGTTGGATGAAGATGGGATCTCTCTGATCTTATCTGAGCAGGCAAGAGGGGGCCTCTGCTGTTTGAAATTAAATGAGTTCTGATGGAAGCGGCAGCAGATAGGAGTGCTGAGAATTCTGAGAGCAGGCCATAAGCCAAAACCTGAGCCCCACACCAACAGACAAAAAGTCAGGGCACCTCTTTTGCACGGGGCATTTGGCAAGAAACAGAGCCTCTGGCAGGAGGATTGCAAGTTCTAGGCCAACCTCGGCAACTTAGCAAAACCCTGACTCAAAAGAGAAACTAGGAAGGGCTGGGATGTGGGATGTATCTCAGTGCTAACGAGCTCCCGGGATTTGGGTTCAACCCTCAGGAAAGGAAGGAAAAGGAAGACAGATGACCGAGACAATACTGCCTGTGAGCCTCAGTCCCTCCTTCTGTAAAATGGGGTCAGGGGTGTCTTCCCCACCCCGTTTCCCCAAAGGAGAGGACAACTTGTGAGGACTCTGAATCTCGGACCCCTTCCTGGCCAGGGCAGAAGGTGAGCTTGGGAGCAGAGCCTGGGTTTGCTGCGGAATCCTCTCAGGGGCCATGTTTTCCTGGCTCCCCAGGCCTTAAGGAGTAGACAGCCGAACCGGCAGCTCTTTGGTCTGTACAAGTCCTGACCTTGGCTAGTCACCCGAGGGAAGTGTGGCTCTGACGTCAAGCCCAGGCTGCAGTGGGCCGGGGCCGCCGCTGGCCCCCTCCTCCCATCTTCCTGGCACCTCAGTGGGTGAAGTAAGAGCCACAGCTCTCACACACAAAGGTCTCTAAGGCCACCTTGATCTGTCCTGGCTCAGATCCTCTATTCAGTGGACTCCAACATTGGAGAGGGGTCACGGAGGGAGGAAGTAGAGTGGTGTGAGTGTGGGCGAGAACTTGTAAGTCACGAGGTCCTGTAAAGTGGAAGGCATTTTTAAACTGTGGTTATTCACCGTCCTTTACAGTGTGCTCACTGGACATCCCAGAGAACAGATGGTTTAACAAAGAAGTACCTGAGGCTTGGAACCCCGGTTAGAGGGCAGGGAGCCTGCCTCATCAGGAGTCCCCATGGGTGAGCCAGGTGACTGGAGAGGACCCTCCGACTCCCCAGTTCCCCTGTGGGAATCGTGGGCCTGATGGTGGATGCGGGGGGCTGGGGGGGGAAGCACCGGCGTGGATGAGGGCAGCAGTGGCCATCACCCAGATGTGCTGTCGTGCTCCTGTCTTCATGCTGACGGGCATGGGCAGCCACTGGGGTGGCCACGAGGGTCACGTTCATTGAGGCCCGTGGCACGTAGAGCAGGTGCACTCCACATCGATGGGCACGGTGTGCCCACCACAGAGAGGTTTCGCAGTGGGAGCCCGGCCACCCAGGCCGGTATGTGGAGAGGTCGAGGGTCAGAGACAAGGCTATTCGGTGGGGAGCCATGTTGACCCATGTCACGGGTGTCTTATGGGAAGCCTGTTCTTGGAGAAGGAAGCTCATCTGGTGCACGTGCTCCTCAAATCCGGCGCGACCCTGCCTGGGACAGCAGCGCTGAGCACTTACCAGAAGGCTCGCCAGGTGGAGAAGCCTGCCCCTCGCAAGGGGAGGCTGACGGCCAGGCCCTCCGGGAAGTTCTGGATTCCAATTCCAATGGCCAAGTTCCTGAAAAAAAAAAAACCAAGAAGGCACGTGAAGCTTTGGTCTGGACTGTGAAAACACACAGCTGGCGGCTCCTGGTCAAAGCCCAGAGCCCTCCTTTGGCACCAGGGAGCCAGGTGGGGACTGTGACTGGTGGAGGAAGGAGAAGGTTAGGGCCCGTGCTGAGGCAGGTGGCACACATGGCAGGAGGGAGGAATGTGGGTCCTCGCCCAGCACCTGTCCTGGGTCCCTGGTGACAGGTTATCTTTAGGGTACGGCAGGGGCCACACTGGCTGGAGTGCTTCAAGGGATGGAAACCCTCGTTGGATGAAGAGCCCTGAGAGTCAGCTCTGGGTGACCCTTAAGATTCTGTCCTTGGTATCTGCAGACAGACAGTCTTTCAATTCTCTCAAGTGCTTCTACTAGGGATAGGGCAGGGAATGGACAGGGGCTTTACACACCCTCCAAGGCAGCCCTGCTCTGTCCTAGTTCAACAGGAGAGAATGGGGAGCAGGAGAGATCCGAGGATCAGAAGAGAAACCTGGCTGGATTGTCGGGGGAAAGGTCTTGTTCTTCCCTTGCTCCTGAAGTGTGCACAGGTACCAGTTGGTGGGCCCTCTGGGCCGCCTGCTTTTCCAGGTCTTTTTGATCCCTCAACCATCAGTCCTCAGCTGGTCTGTAGGGCTGGATAAAAGGGTCAAGAGTTCCCTTTCTCCCTGGAAAGGCCCTGGGCTCTGTGGATCTGCAGGGGGCAGCGGGGGAATGATGAGCGCCCATCTCTGCCAGGGAGCAGGGCTTTGGGATCACTCAACAGCTCACAGCTTGCCTCTTGGGCTCCAGGTGGAGGACTACACATCCAGCCTTGGGACACACTGCCTATGTCTGTTCACAATGTAGGGCCCCAAGGAGCCTGTTCCAATCAGCTGCAGGCAGAACTACAGCTTGTCCATGGTCAAGCAGACCCTGAGCGCCTATCCAGGAGCAGGGGAGAAAGGAACAAACCTATGGGCAAGCTGGGCGTGGTGGTGCAGGCCTGTCATCCCAGGGACTACAGAGGTTGAGCAGGAGGATCACAAGTTCAAGGCCAGCCTCAGCAACTTAGCGAGACCCTCAGCAACTTAGCAAGACCCTGTCTCAAAATAAAATATAAAAAGGGCTGGGGATGTGGCTCAGTGATTAAGTGCCCCTGGGTTCAATCCCTGGTACCAAAAAACAAAACAAACCAAACCTATGGGCACCTTCCTGCCAACATTTCAGTCCCACCCTGTCTTCCCCGCCACCTACAGTGGACTCTTTCCCTCTGACCTCCTTCAGCATCTCCTTGCTGCCTCCCAGCTGGCTGAGCGAACACAATCAGCTTTCTTGACTTTTTATTATTATTATTATTTCTTGACGTTTTGAAAGCTGAGTCCAAGGTTTCTTTCCAGTGAGAGAGGCTGAGGGGTCCCACCAGGTCTTGTGAAAATGGCAGTTGGTGGCTGCCTTTCAGACGCTGTCATTATCTGTCCCCGTGTGCACAAGGACAACACGACTCACCCCCAGCATGACCACACGGCTGCCAGCTAATGTCACTAGCAAGTCAGAGGTGGCGCGCCCTGTCCAAAGTCCTGGCCGTGACAAGGCACTAACTGCAGCCATCCCCAGGGCGGGCTGTGGAAGCCTACTCCACATCCTGCCTGGGAGCCACCGTCCCGATAAGCAGCACAGAAACCCCTTTCTTCCATCCCTGGCAAGGCTCGTTACCTCTGCCCTGCCCGGCTCTGGCACAGGGCTTCCAGCCCAACCGGGCGCCACACCCTCTGGACCCCACCGGGCTTCTCAGCAGGGCGCTGCCTCGCTGGGCCAACCTCGTGTCTCCTGGAGCACTGCTGGGCTCCTGCACTCTCACCAAGGGCTGCCTCTCCTGCCTTCCTACACGGCCTTGTGAACGTGGCTCTCCCTCCCCAGGGCCATGTTCCCTTGGTCTGTATGCTGTGCCTCTGTGAGATGTCCACAGCGGTTACGTAGAGGTGACCCCATGGAAGGGCCCGGACCCCTCCACACCCTCTACTTCTCCCCACCACGTGGATCAGCTCTGAAAGGTGATTTCAATCCACAGCTCTTTCAGTGCACAGCTCTCGGTCACCAGGGAGCCTTAGCAGAGGCCAGGATCTCGGCCCCTCTCCTGCAGGTCCTGACGAGTCGTGGCGTTGGACTCTGGGCCTGCAGATTTATTTCAGAGCGTGGAACAGCGCTGAGAACCTCTGGATAAGAAGAAGTCATCAGAGGGGATGAGGATGCTCGCTAAGCCCGCCTGGGTCTCAGGAGCTCCTCCCCTGCTGTCCCGATCCCCAGCACGGGTTCCAGGTCGAGGACACCAGGGGCCACTAGCGACTGCGTTGGCAGCCTGAAGACGGGGTGCTCGCTCCCTGCAGAATGTGAAGCCATGGAGGGGATCCCAGCAAACGAAGAGCAGGAGGGTCGAAGCCGAGTTAGGTGTGATGGTGAATGAGGTGCAGGGGGAGTGAAGGCCTGGGAGGGTGGGGGGCACTGACTCAGGGAGGGCCACCCCGGACGGGCTGGCGGGGAAAGGGGACCTCCCAGGAGCTGGTGGCGTGGAAGAAGCCCCCGGCCTCCTGCAGCCCTACTGTGCACCCCTCTGGTCTCTCCCCTAAGGGGACACTGCATGGCAGTGCTCCTGGCTGAGTGGTGCTGGGTGGCCTCCCTCCTTGCAGCCTGGGGAAAGGAAAGCCCAAATGAGAGGTTTCCTTTCCAGAACAGGCTGGGACGATTCCAAAAGCAAGCGGGGAACAGATCCACCCAGGGCCCTCCCAAACAGCGGCACAAAGACACCATTCTAGACTGCCCCCTGACCAGCAGATGGAGGGAAGAGAAGGCGGAAGGAAGGGCCCTTCACCAACAGAACCGCAAGCTGCCCTCTGATGGTGCCCTTCCCATGACCGCCAAGCCCCAGGGTGACCTGTCACCAGGGTCTGCCAGGAAGCAATAAGGAGGGGATTTTGCCAGAAGGCTGGGAAGGGCCTTCAGGGAAGGAGTGGTGGAGGCTAGGAGAGCGGGTTCACAGGGCAGGGTGTCCCTGGGCCAGGCTGTCGGCTGCCCGAGGGGGCCCGAGTGCCCTGGGGAGGCCTCTCTTAGGAAGGTGTGCCAAGGCTCTGTCCTGGAGGGCTGCCTCGTGGAGGAGGTACGTTTGGCTTGGGCGTCCAAACACCGCCCTTCCTTTCCCTTGGGAATGGGAATCTGCCAGGGAGGGACAGGCCCGGAGAGTACTGACCCCGAGTCCAGTCCTGAGGTCTGGAGCAGGGTTGGTTCCCAAAGCCCACTTCCCAGTGTACATTGATCTTTAACTTTTTCTCAATCTCCAGGAGGAGCGAGCGGCAGACAGGAAGACGACAGGCACTTCCCTCCTGGGACTCGGAGAGCAGATGAGTGACAGTGGACGTCCAACCCCGGAGTGCGCAGACCAGGAGGCCGAGGGGTCAGGTGACCTCTGAGGTGCACACAGGGTTCCCAACCATTCCCATGTGCCTGGAGCTGGACCYAGGATCTCAGTGCTAAACCAGCCCCTCCCAGGACAGGGGGATGAGCTGGTCACCCTTGGAAGCACCCAAGGAGAGGTGGCAAAGGCAAACTGGGGATGAGGACTTCAACCTGTCAGGAAGGGAAGGCAGAACCCTGGAAACGGAGATGTTCAAAAATAAACGCCGACGCAACACTCGCAGAGGTCTCGTGCAAGTCCCAACCCTCTGGACCCTTTGGTCACCCACCCCTCCCTTTAAAGAGTCAGCTCCCGTGTGACCCTTGCCAGCCTCAGGGGTGCCAGGTCAGTCCCTGAGGGCCGCTGTCTCCTGCCCTGCCCTGAGTGATACCCCGAGGCTGGCCGAGCACTGCAGGGTGGAAGAGGTGGCCTCCCTGCAAGGACAGCAGCACTTTGCTCTGAGCCTGGGCAGGGACACAAAGGAGCAATTCAGGCTGCTTAGGGCCAGAGGCAGCTGGAAAACCCCGGGGGTGGGAGATCTGCGGGGGGTGGGGGCCGGGCTCACTCACAAATATTGACTCCCAGCAGATGGAGGGGGCTGGCTCACGGGGGTGCCAGGGTGGTGCAGGCAGGGTGAAGGGCGCCGTCGCGGCTGGGCCTCTCCCGTCTGCACACGGGGCAGAAGTGAGCAGCCGGAGGGGCTTTGTCACTCTTCTTCCTTGCCGTCTCAGCCTGGTAGAGGCACATGGCCGGGTCCCTCCAGGCTACTAGGTGGGGAGCCCTCCTGGGCCCTGTCCTTATCTTCAGAGATCGTTGATGCCAAGACACGGGAAACAGGAAGCCAGGCCAATCCTGGTGGGCTGTTGCCCCTGCCTCCTGAGAGAGGCCTGAGCCCATCTCCCCAGGGCTGACCTCTCATCTCCCGAGAGCTCCTTCTGCTCGGAGTCCTACCTGGGCAGTTAGAGGCCAGACGGCACTTGGGCCACGGGGCCTTTGGAGGTCACCTTGCTGGACACCTTCACTGTGATGGTAGAATAGAGGCCCAGACAAGTTTAATGGCTTTGGAGGCCATCTGACCCATTGAATGTGAGTCACACCCCCCTGGGTGGGAGCCCCGGGTGCACCGTGGTCAATCCAGTGCCAGCCTCTGCTTTTTCTGTGAAATGGGCCTAACTCTGCACCCCTTGCAGGGTTCCTGTGTGGGGAGAAACAATCACTGTGAGCCAGTCACAGCCCTGAGCCCAGCTTGGGTGCCTGTCCCACGGTGGCTACTGGTAAATTTGCCCACTCCTGTAGGGGCCATTGCTGAGCCGGGCACTCAGGCCTCTGACCCCACAGCCTGTGCCCACGGGGCCTCACAGGGAGTTCTCTTCAGCCTCCTCAGTTCTGAGACTTCTGGTGGGAATCGGGCACTGATCAGCAAGGTGGCCAGCTTCCCAGGAGTGACCGGAGCCCCAGGCCCCTGGACCAGGCCAGAGCTCACACCACACAGGAAGACGACGCCGAGAAGGACCCCACCTTCAAGTTCACAGTCACACAGGGCAGAAGG